GAAATATAGAGATGACATACGTATACCAAAAATGTTTGAATACGAGTTGTCACCATTGCCAACTTTAACGTTCGATGAAAATGGAAACATGCAAATCTCTACATCCACATCAGTCCAATCCAACAAGTGAACGTACATGAAAGAGTGTACCACTGGCCTAACAATTATAGATGGGTGTGCCATACTATGTGCAATTCATTGCCTATCAAAAGGGACAACCAGGAACTATATCAAAAATTTTTACAAATACATAAACCAATCTATCCAAGAAGGAAACCTCTACCTGGTGTTCGACAGGAACTATGATTATAATACAAATAGCGTAACAAAGGCAGCTAGAACAATGAAAGAGGGAAGCAGATGTCACAAAATCACAATTAACAGCATCTTTCCATCTTAAAAAGTCATGGTTTCTGTTGCAGAAAACTAAGCGTGTTCCATCTCTAATTGTTGAGCAGCTGCAGATATATCACACAATACACACAAGCTGATAATAAAACTGACAATGAGCCCACTCCCATTGTGATTGAAAAAAGGAACATATGAACGACTCACGAGGAGGCCCCAAATTATTATTGGACAGCAGATGGTAAACATCACTAACAGTGGCATTACTTCAATGCCATAAATTATAGCACTGGCGTCTTTGTATTATTGGTGCATTACTATTCAACACTTGGTCTTTCGTGTAATTTGTTCATGATCAAAACTAGTTGCAGTAAAACCATTTTCAACATTAATGCAACAGTTGAAGAGCATAAGGATTATGGCAAACGTTGCTAAATATACATGCTTTCTCTGGGTGTAATACAGTGACATGTTTGTAGGATATAGGAAAAGGAACTGCTCTAAATGTGCTACAGGCTTATTTAAATTTAGAGAAGCTAGGAGATACTGAAGCTAACAAGGAAAAGACAACACTTTCAATAGTTCATTACTACATTTGATCAAGGAAGATGTTAAATCCTAAAATCATGTCAACTCCTGATCTGAAATTCTTACCACCAACAACACAGGCATTTGAAGCTAACATTTACCGTGCTCATTATCAGGTTTGTGTTTGGCGAGCTGTAACTGATCCAAACCCGCCACCACTTGATCCTGTCAAATATGGCTGGACGGACACAGAATGATGCAACAATACCCTGTGCAAAATCCAATTAGTGTAACAACAGTTCTTTTGGAAATCTTTAAAATGATAAAATAAGGATGTTCAATAGAAGCTCCATGTGAGGCCTCTTGATGAGGATGTTCCTCGGCCCAGCTGTCACTGTCAGTATTTTTCAAATATCGGGAGTTTCCTTGTCAGAACAAGAACAAAATTCGCACAAACACTTATAATGATTGTGATTATGTTATCAAATAGGAACTTGAACTGCGAACGTTACAATTATCATTGTTTCAATCATTCATTCTAGGCTGTGTCCGCCCACTGCAAGGCGTAGCCCTCCACCAAAGACATCCAAGTCTGTCTATCTGCTGCTTTCCTTGGCCGTGTGATGCCCTCTTTCTTTATGATGTCATCATGTCTTCTTCTGTGTGGTCTACCTCTTGATCTCTTCCCTCTGTGGGGCTGCCATTCTATGATTCATTTCGTCCATCTGTTGTATTTTAATCGAGCAATGTGTTCGGCTCATTTTCATTTTGATTTTGCAATATACTTGGAGATGTCTCTTACCCCAGTATTTCTTCTGATGTCTGAGCACAAAGTGTTATCATGGATCTTGATCTTCAGTATCTTTCTTTCCGTTGCTCTTTGTGTTGTCTGCAATCTTGAGTTAAGCTGTTTAGTGAGTGACCAAGTCTGACAACCATATGTTATGGTTGGTAAAACGCATTGGTCGAATACTCTTCTTTTAAAGGTTCTTGGTAGTTTTTCGTCTTGAAAGGGCTCTCAGTACTTCCCAAAGCAGCTCCAGCCAACTCTTATTCTCATATTTATTTCCTCTTTTTTATGTAGGTTGTTTATCCAAGGTATTTGCAATTGTTCACACTCTCGATAGTTTCATTTTCTAATTTGATTTCACGGTTGTCATCTAAGTTTATCATATACTTTGTTTCCCCCTTATGTATTTTAAGACCGATCTTTGTGATCTGTTGTATGTTCTCCATAAATAAAGACACATCATCTGTAAACCTGAGGTCTGTTAATTCTTCTCCATCTATATTCATGCCATGTTCCTGTAGCTTTCATCATTTAAAAACTTCCTTATTGTTGCTGTAAATAGCTTAGGTGATATAGGGTATCCTTGGCTTACGCCTCTACCAATCAAGAACTCGTATGATACATGATTGTCCAGGTGGATTCTTTCTGTTGCACCAGTGTAGATGTCTTCAAGAATGTTTATATATACTTCGTTTATTACACCTTTTCGCAGAGCTTCAACTGAGTCAAATGCTTTTTGTAGTCAATGTATCCGATGCAAAGTATTAGACTGAATTCATTTGATTTTTCCATAATCTGATTTAACGTATGTAGGTGGTCAACAGTGGAGAACCATTTTCTAAAGCTGGCTTGTTCTCTTGGTTGATTTTCGTCTAATATATTTTCTATTCTGGTTTGAAGAATTCGTGTGAATATTTTATGCATATGTTACAGTAGAATGATAGGTCTATAATTCTTTATATCTTTGGGGTCGCTCTTCTTCAAATAAACAATGATCTTTGCTTCTTTCCAGCTGAGTGGTACTTTTCTTGATACTAGTATTTCATTATATATTCTGTTTATATAATTCAGTACTTCCTTGCCACCTGTATTAGTACGTCACTTGTTATCTATCATTGGTGCTTTTCGTTTCTTCATTTGTGTCATTGATCTTTTCACTTCATGCTCTGTTATTGGTGGTCCTTGCTCTGTGTCTGAACTTGTTTTTACTGTGTTTGGCTTATAGAAGTTGGGACAAATTTCCAACACTTTCTGTTCTTTCTTATACGATCTCCCCTGATGAATTAATTTTTGTGATTTTTCTTTTGGATCCGTACTTGTATATCTTCTTTGGTCCACTGCCGTTCTCTAATATTTCTTCGATCATTGATTTTCTTTTGAGTCTTGTTCTCGCTCTTCTTTTCTTTTTGACAGTTTTGTTCAATTCAGCATATTCTACCCTTTCTCGTGGTGTTTTGTTCTCTTTTCTCCTTAATTCATTTCTTTTAGTGTCTAGTTTTTCAATGTCCTTGTCTGCATCTAACCCTTTTCCCCTGGATTTTGCCGCCGCGTCTTGTACTATACTTATTTCTTCCTGTTGGATTGTAGTCAGAGTTTCTGGAGTTGGCTGTTCCTCACTAAGCACTCTGTTTTTCAGTTGTAGTTGCGATGTCTCCTTGTATCTCTCTGTCATTTGTCTATTTGTTTTTAAAGATTTGTTTCTCTTTAAACATATCAGTCTCTTGTCCAGTTTCAGTTTCCCTCTTACCATTCTATGGTCACTTCCAATGTCCACTTTTGTTATGACCTCGCAGTTCTCAATGATGTTCCTTGTAGAGGTTAGTCAAAAGTCTATTTGGTTCTTTGTGTTTCCATCACGTGACTCCCATGTCCAGTATGTGTTCTTTGACAGGAATTTTACCTACCATCAACGCGCTGGCCGGGTGTCCTTCTCACCCACAAGGCAGTGGAGGTGGAAAAGTAAAGGTTTTAGGACACCCCTGACTCGCCCGTAAGGTCCCTATTCATATCATATAAGCAAAACAAAATTAAACTAACTAAATAACATTAATATATTTTTTTCTGCTCAGTTAGCCTTTTTTCCATTTTTCTTGTTCCATACCGTTAAATGTAACGCTTATGGATATTTATGTAATATTTCTTAATAAACGCCCATGTTTATGTGGATAAGGTTGTGATTTGTTACATCATTCTTCGAGTTATTCTGAAAACTGTTGTTATCAAAGTCTACAAAATATTTATTGCAATTGATGACGATCTATTTTTCATATAGAAGTTCTGATCTAAAGTTTGGCACAAAAATGACTTCCATGATGTTTTGAGAATGCGATACTTTTTTCTAATCTAAGTGAAATCCAATTAAGTTTGATGCAGATACATTGATACATTTGACATAAGCTAATATCTTTCTTCATTTGACGATTTGCTGTTAGTTGTAGTTATGAAACATCCTTAAATAACGACCCAGGGTTACTATTTGGAGCATATTTCATACACTTTGATGCCATATTTATCGTTTATACGCCCAGGGCACTAAATTCAAAATATGAGTATATTGTGTGCAAGTATATTCAATTAATGTGGAACGCACCACATACTAAACAAAATTGAATTTTTGAATCTTCTATCTCTAACAGTGTTATCAAAAGTGGCGAATGATATTTTTTGCCCAATGATGCCAGCTTGGCACCCGGTGAAATTTTGATGTAGACACCTTATAGACACAAAATCTAACATAACCTCATAGGTGTCCTCTAAAACACATCTTATCAAGAATATGACAGTGATATAAATATATTACTTTAAAAACAAAGTAAATGCTCCTGAACTGAAAAGTCTACATAAACACGATTAGTATTCACACATTTTGAATCTTTTGATGAAAGAAGTAATTGAATTAATATGTTTAACAATGACACTTAAGTTTTTAACTTTTAATTTATACTATACAGCTTTTCCTTAACAACTGATTAATAGCATTTCAACTATGCTTTGTTGTATGCCACTGCTAATGAGACTTTTCGCTTAACACTAGAGCTCTTACAGATTATTTTCTACACAGTCCAAAAACGTATATACATTTAACCGATAAAAATAATTTTTGAAGTAGTTTAACACAACTGGCCTGATTACTTTGCAAACTCAGTCTTAGCTGTAGTATAGTTGAAATGCTATTATGTGTTTCTGGAACTGGAAATATGCAAGAGCCTACTAAAAATAGTGCTTTAAATGTTATTGTGATGTGTATAAATAGAGTTATTAGCCCGAAATCACTAATATTTTGGCGTTACACATCGCAAGTTAAGTGAATTTATAACCATAATATTCAACATACGTTCATTATCAGTTGTGACGTTAATTACATCGCTGTATTCGCCTGATCCGAGAATATTTTCTGCGCGGATCCTGAAGCTGTACGTATTTAAAGGAGACAGACCTTGGACAGTATATTGGTTCAAATTGTTGTCGACGGATATGGCGTTTCTCGATGCTTCCCATGATTCTATGAAAAAAAACATTAATCATGAAGAACAACTGGAAAGAATTCACTAAAATATAACTCATATTACAGGTATTGGAAAAATTTCTTTAAAAACAATTCTGTTCGGATGTACACGACTTGATTGAGCAACTTTACTTTTCAACCTAAAAGTCGTCTTCTGTACACAGAGGATAATCATTTATAATTGTGAACTACCTGAAACCGCAAGAGCTTTATCCCAGCTTTGCAATGAATAATGTGGTTGAATGCTACTCTTATATTGCACTAACAGCTGAAAGTGCGGAGCGTTTTGAGCGGCAAATTGTTATGCAGCTCGGCGCCTGATATTGTAACCATTTAAGCTGCATAGCAGAAGATGAAATCTATCCTCTCTCTCCCGAAGAAAGGTGTTTCTGACTCTTCAGAGCCTCCACTACCCACATTATAAAACATGTTGTTTTGAATACCATATAATTTAAAATTTTAATAATATATACATTTTATTTTATATTATTCAATTAAATAAAAAAATTCTAAGTATTAATTTTCCTCAATTTAAAGGTTTTTAATTTTTCTTATTAATTAATTTCAATCTTATATCACACAAACATCTGTTAACAAAAATATTGAACTACAACCACCTAGACATACACAGCTACACAATATAAATTCTTACTATAATAATATTAATAATAAATTCAGATTCCATTTATAAATTATAAAACTAAATTCAAAGAGATGTATACCTATAAAATTGATTTGTAAACTTTATTGTTTGTTTGTTTGTTTTTAATTATGCACAAAGCTACACAGGGGCTATCTGTGCTCTGCCCAACACGGGTATCGAAACCGGTTTCTAGCGTCGTAAGTCTGCAGACATACCGCTGTGCCACTGGGGGCTAAACTTTATTAAATAATTTAATTCAAATAATAAATATCTTTCAAATCCTTAATTAAAAACTTCCCTATTTATCAGTGGCAATAGAAACTTAAAGGTGAATTATACTTATTAATTCTACTATAATTTGTTATACTTAATTTCTGTCAACAACTAAAAGATTTTTTAATGTTTATAATATTTAACGGTTAAAAATGTTAATCTTTGATCCAAAGTTGGAATCGAGAATTGTTTGTGGAAAGACTATGGGTGTATTAATAGGCGAATTTGTCACTAAACGTAACATCGCATTTTTTAGCAGCATATTCAATAAGTGATCTTATAAAAACTTTATAAACTTTTTATTATTGTTTTACTATTGCATCTTCTCTGTTTAATGATTATTCTTTTCAAAAAAGTTGAATCTAACCCAACCTCTTTTCACGAGAGAGTTAACATGTTCTTACCAATTTAATTTTCTATCAAAATTTATACCCAGATACTTCTTTTTTCAACAGGTATAATATTTACGTAAAGTAACGTAATTTCGGCATTTTTAATGGCTTCATATTTTGTTTCGATATGTTATTTCTCCTGTGAAAATTAATAAACTTAGTTTTCTCAGAATTATTCTCCATAAATTACACCACAATTCTAAGTCGATTAACACTAATTGCAAATTGCTTGTAACTTCTAGCACAAAATGATGTGTAATCCAATATGTAATGTCATCCTCATACTGTGCAAGATCAATAATACCTTTACCTAAAGATGCACACGTTATATCGTTAGTGTAGAGGCAGAATAACAACGGACTCAATACTGTTTCTTGAGGAACTCCTACCTCCGGTATAAAAGAATCTGAAAATTATTTATTAATCTTAATTTTATTAAGTCTGTTTTAATAAAAAATATTTATCCATCCGATTACTGTGTATGGCAAGAAGAAATCGTTAATTAACTTATAAATCAATCCATTGTGTCATGTCTTATCAAAAGCCTTTTCTATATGTAGAAAAATGCTCTCGTAGTATTTTTATAATGAAACCCACCAATCATATAATTATCGACTATGTGAGCCTTACCAAATGACCAGAAGTTTGATGGTTTTCCTTAGAACAAGCTTGATGTGGATTTAGTTTATTAGCTTTATCTAAACAATTTAATAATCCATTGTTTACAACTTTCTCGAATATTATAAATAACTAACTTGTTAAATTAATTGGTCTAAAGCTGTAAGGAGAACTTTTCGTTTTATTAGATTTTAAAATCATTATAATAACACTTTATTTCCACATTTTTGCGATATATCTTGTTTTATAAGATAAAGTAAATAAATGAGAAATTTTATCATATATCTTTATCACAATTCTTTAACATTACATAATGTATATTATCACATCCAGGAGTGCTATTCTTTTTAACATCTTTTAAAACCGTAATTATTTCACCAGATGTAATATTATTATTAAAATTTAGTGGATTATCCCCTAAATTATTTTCAACTTGGTCATTAATTTAATAGAAAACTCAACATTCAGTCTTTTCTCATTATTAATTCTATTATTCACATATTCGTACCACTTACTATTAAAATTAGGATATTGATTATCCTTTGTAATTTCAGTCATCATGTATTTAAACTAAAAAAGCTAATTCTTGTTCAGTTTTAGCATTTCTATCTTTCCAATTAATATCAAAAGAAAGTATTTTATTAGAACTATCATTAACATAGTTTTCAAACATTTTCCAAAACTTACTACTATCTGTTTATTTATCCAAGTCCTTGCAAAAAATTTCAAAATCTTTTACTCTTTTGTTTTTGAATTAAATTTTTCACATTTGTTTTTATTGTATAAAGTTATAAATTATGAATTATGATTTCTAACCATAATTCGTCTAATTCTTTTTTCTTTAATTGCCAATTAAATTTTCTCTATAAATTTCCATTTAGGTTTCTTAGGATGATATTTTGGTGTACTAAAATTAGCTGTAATCTAAAAAACGTTACAAATAACATTACTATATTCTTCTAGTTGATCTTATTAAAATCATATTTATCTAAATTACTTTTAAGAATTTCATTAAGTTTCTGCCAATTAGCTTTTCTAAAGTTATAATTAGCTTCTAATTTACTAGTGCTTCTCATGTTTATAGTTTTCACAATAAAAATACTTATATATATATATATTAATAATATTTAACATATAATTTCCATTTTCATTCGTTTGTTTACAATCAAAATCTACATTTTTACTGTTAAAATCACACATGATAAATAAATTGCAATCATATTTAATTAAATTATTAAGATTATCATATTCAAGATTATTTCTTGGTGATACATAGATATTTGCAATTGGTACTTTAATATTATTAAACCATACATCTACTACTTCAATTTTAATTCGAATTATAGATAGCACTAATTCTGATTTAGTTTCCTTATTAACCAAAACAGCTAACTCTAGTGTATCTTTATTAATATCTTTATCACTTCGATAGACTTTATAACCTTTTTGATTAAATATTTTATTATTTGTTAACTTTGTTTTAGAAATACATATTATAGGAATATTATTATTTACATAATATTCTATTTCGTCCTACATATTTAAAACATCTCGTTGAATATTAGCAACAATAATCCAAAATCTTTGCATTTTTGCTCATTAATTAACTTTTTAACCATTTTTTGTTTATTTTATTAAAAATTTGTTTAAAGTAGCTACTTTATTTCATATATAATTTCCTAATTTGTCTTTTAATTTTAATAACATTTTTGATTTCTTCTGGAAAGGGCCATCTGTGGTTTTTAGGAATATACTTTGGAACAGTCAAATCTATAGGTTTTTTTTTAAACTATTATCTATTATATGTACATATTGGTCTTTTTACTTGCAGAAACAAAAGTGTAATATTTTGAATTGTCTATTATGACATCGTTAAATTTATCCCAGTTTGTCTTTTTAAAGGTATATTTCCATATTTTATCGTTTTTATTTAACTGTTTTCTGTTATTATATAGTTTAATATAAACACTAATTGGTAAGTGATTACTATTAACATCACTGCCCACGTAAAAAGACTCAGTATGCTTATAATATTTTTTGGTCGTAATAGCGTAGTCAAATATGTCAGACTCGCCAGTACGGTTATAAGTATGAGTATAAGTTTCATCACTTAGTAATATTAACTCTAGTTCGTAAAGGATATCTATTAAATAAATTGCATTACTGTTAGTCTTTTTACACTCCTATACTATGTGTTTACCATTCAATTCCCCCATGATAATCAACTTTGTATTATAATCATGTAACGCCTGAAACAAAATTTTATCTGGACATTTTTTTTGTTTATTTTTGTTAAGTCATTGTTCGTTGCGAATTGTGTGTTTAACGTGACAAATTATATATATATTGTTTGTAGGTGCAAATTATGTATTTACTAGAGTACGGAACAGGTATTTTACTTTTCTCAAATCAAATTAAGCCTCAGTTTCCCACCTACTATTTAAATACATTTTATTTGTTATTAAGCATAAATTTACTTAGTAGGCTGTATGTGCTCTACCCATAACGGGTAACTAAACCCAGTTTTTAGCTTTATAGCCCTTCAACTTACCGTTGTGCTACTGTACTAGGAGGAAGGGCGGTTAAGATGGGAAACTATAAGTGATATATAAATCAGTACTCTGATAGTGCGAACTTTAGAAAATAAATTTATTTAATAAAAGTAACGAAACAAACTGCATATGGGCCTGGCATGGCCTGGTGGCTAGGGCACTGGACTCGAACGTCGCGAGTTCTAATCTCGTCACCGAATATGTGGAATACTTCACAAGCTTTCCTGCACTACATGACAGTTTTACATATGTGGAATAATTCACAAGTTCTCCTGCATTACATGACAGTTTTACATATGTGGAATACTTCACAAGTTCTCCTACACCACAAGATAGTTTTACATATGTGGAATAATTCACAAGTTCTCCTGCATTACATGACAGTTTTTACATATGTGGAATACTTCACAAGTTCTCCTACACTACAAGATAGTTTTACATATGTGGAATACTTCACAAGTTCTCCTACACTACAAGATAGTTTTACATATGTGGAATACTTCACAAGTTCTCCTGCATTACATGACAGTTTTACATATGTGGAATACTTCACAAGTTCTCCTACACTACAAGATAGTTTTACATATGTGGAATACTTCACAAGTTCTCCTACACTACATGACAGTTTTACATATGTGGAATAC